CCTCGGTGCTGCGCCCGCACCTCGCTCAGCCAGTGAGCGGGAACCGGTCTGTATGTGGGATCCGAACCCTCGGCGGGAGCGCCGCCGCACTCCCAAGCGGCGCACTGTAGCAGTGCACCACTGGGCCGGCCCCTTGTTTTTAATTTTTAAATATTTTTAAGGCTTGGTGACACATGCCAAAGTTCTCACAAGACAAATCTTAATTCCCCCACTTGGGGCAGCCCTCTTAAGGGCTCAGACAAGAAAAATCACATACACGTAAGGGCAAAGAACTTGGGTTGCTAAACAGGTTGGAACCTGTGCTTTCCAGAATCTCTTCCAGCCTACAGTCCACTAATCCCTGTTCTCTATGTTCTCTCAGCTTTCAGCATTTGGCAGGGCTTCCCCCAGTTCATGGCCCACATCTGATACCTCCACTTGGCCCTTGGTAGGGATTATTGGCCAGCAGGCCCCGCCTGCAAAGCTGCCGGGCTTTCCAGCTGCCCTGGCACATCCTAGGAATTCTCCCCCTTCCTGGAGAGGGCTTGATGGCAGATGGCTACTTGCCTTTCCCCCTCCATAGACCTTGTCTCCTGCGGAGCCAGGAATGAGAATCCAGTAGAGGCCAGGGGGAGCAAACCCAGGCCATAGGCTGGGAGGGAGCCAGGTGAGCCCCCACTGACCTCGTCGAAGGTGATTTCCTGACTATGCCAGTTCTCAATGTTGAAGAGCATGACCACTCTGCCATACTTGTCCCGCGTAGAGAGGACACCAGGGTAGCCAGCCTCGATGGTGCAGCGGACGGCCTCCAGGGATAGGCTGTCGAAGAGCTCAGGGTACTGCAGCCGGAAATTCACATAGCCTAGAGGAGGCAGAACCGAGGAGCCCCCTGAGGAAGCCTGTCCATCTCTACCTCATCCCCCCTCCTGGGGTGGCACAAGGTGGGAGTCAGAGATCTGGGCTCCTGTCTGGCTCCTTCAGACACAGGTAATCAATCTATGTGAGCCCCATGTCTCCAAAAAGTGGAATGATAATATTGGCCTATCTCATCAAATTGTTGTGGCAATCAAATGAGATTCAAGGTGTGAAGATCGCTGTAAACTGTGCAAACATGAGGTATAGTCCTAAATATGAGGACGATTACTTCTTGTTATTTTCTTTCCCATGGGGACAAGGCATAGGTTTTCCAGCTGGGCATAGGGTTAGCTGAATAGGGGTGTGGGCAGGGCTGGGAAGAAGCCCCTGAGATAAAATCCAAACCCCAAGCAGGGCCAGCCTGTGGCTCACTTGGGAGAGTGTGGTACTGATAACACCAAGGCCAAGGGTTTGGATCCCTATATAGGGATGGCCGGTTAGCTCACTTGGGAGAGCGTGGTGCTGCCAAACCCCAAGCAGGACACAGAGGCCCTTTCTGATTCCAGCACCTCTATTACCCACAAACCCCATCCTTACCCATCCTGAAGAGGTCCCTGCCTCTGTGGGGCGGTCTGCACAGCGAAACTTGAGCCCCAAGAGGAGGTGCTGGGGGAGCGTTTGCCAAGAGAATTCCACACCAACGACCTCACTGCTCTAGAACACTCTGGGCACATCCGACCACCCAGACTCTGTCTTTGCTGTTCCCTCTGCACAATTGCTCTTCCCCCAGATATCTCATTTCCTTCAGGTTTTTCTTCAAATTTCCCTTTGCACTGGGGCCTTCCTGGCCACTTTACCTAAAACTTCAACCCCTCGGTTCTATATATCCACCCTCTTTATTTTTGTCCTTATCCCTTATCACTAACACTCTCTATATTTTTATTTTATTCATCCCATTTACTATTTCCACCATTAGAATATATATTCCACGAGGACAGGAGATTCTCGTCTGTTTTGTTCTCTGCTGCCTCCATTGGCCTAAAACAGTGGTTGGCACAGCATGGCACTGAATTAACATTTGGGGAAGGAAGACCTAAGAAGTAAAATCATTAGGCTGCAGAGGGCCTGCTCAGACACCCCTACCCTCCACCAGCACCAAAGACTTGATTTCTTTAGGAAACTTGTCTTCATCTAGCCAGCAGGGCTAGGGCCGTTCTGTCCCCATGGCTTATTCCCAGGCTGGCACCATCTTCAATTCCACTGTACATGTGATTTAGGTAACTGCAGTGAGCAAGGTATGTACTTACCTCCCTGCCAAAGCCTAGGTTCTGATGATGGGGGGCGGAGGGACAGGACTCCTCCCCTCCTCATCCAAATTAGGTACCCCAGTTCTACTCACTGAGTCCCAAGACTGGGAGAGAGGTGAGAGGAGCCAGACCTCTGGGAATCTGGTCCTGACAAATTCATTCATTCACTGTCAGAGGTGAAAGCAACCTTGGAGGCTACTGAGTTTACACACACGCCCATCTTACAGGTAAAGGTATGGAGGCCACGAGAGAGTGACTTGTACTCGCCACGGAAGGGGGTCTCACTCAGTTCTGCCTGGGTGAGGGCGAACAGCACCCTCATGACCTCCTCCCGCCTTCCCAGGGCCGTCCCTCTGGTGGGAGCCTCACCTCTGAGCAGCTCGTAGGCTCGAGCTACGTTGAACTTGCGCGCGCGAATGAAGCGTAGGAAGAAGGAGCTGTCCCTTTCCCGCACCCTCTCAGCCACCGCCACCGCCAGCTCCTCCCCGGTTGCCGCCTGCGCCTGCACCAGCTCCTGCAGCTCTCGCACCACCTCCTCCCGAGTCTCCTCCCTCTCATTCAGCTCGTCCTTGGCCTGGAACAGGGCGGGAACACAGACTTACAGGTAGGTGCGGGGAAGGAGCAGGACACGCGTGATGAGTCTCCTACCATTGCCAGACCAGCTGAGGGCGCCCAGGCGGCTGCAGCTGGGGCCACCGCTCTTCTGCCCGGCATCTGCACTGCGACACCTCAGATTGTGTTTGGAGAAAATTAGGTCAAACTGCTCATCCTGGGTTTGCTTGCAGGATATAGCCCACGATCCAGACGTTTCTAACAATAACTGCCTACATTTACTGAGCCCTTACTTAGCACCTTGCTAAGTCCTTTAAATGCATTGTTTTTGTTTTTGTTTTTTTTTTCATTTTTGCCACAACCCGTCATGGCTGGTATTCTTATCCCCACCTCTCAGATGAACAGACTGAGGTTCATCGAGCCAAAGATATTCTTGCCCAACATCACCCTTGGGTGGGGATGCAGCTGAGACTCCTAATCAGGCTCCATTTTTAATCTCTTCACTTTGGGCTTGATTTGGGTCTTTTCAAAAACAAAGATCCCCAGCAGACGGTAGCTGCCTCCTGCCCCAGAGCCTCACATTCCTTCCCTTTGCTGGGCTAAAAGAATTCCTCAGTGTGCTTCAGGCAGCTCTCTCCCTGGACAGCATGAGGGGGGAAGGGAGAGGAGGGCAATCAAGTGTCGGGGAGCTAATAGCACCTTTCCCTTGAGGTGCCCAGGGAAGTGGAGACGGAAGCCAGGAGCCCAGGCTCAGCTCAGCCATTTCTCATCTTCCCCAGCAGCCCTCAGGCAGCTCTGCCAACCTCCACAGAGTCGGGTCTCCTCTGAGCTAGTCCAACAACTGTCTTTCATAGGTACAGAAGGTAAGACACAGAGAGGGAAAGCAATTTGCTTGAGGTCACACAGCAAGATGGATGTAGGTCTGGTTCTAGAATTCAGGCCTCTTGCCTGTCCAGTAGGGGCAGCAGTTGGATCCTTGTTCCCCAGGGCCACTTCTAAACCAGTGCTTCTTATGTCTGAGTCTAGAATGATCCCTAGTTCAGGGGCTCCAGACTGTAGTTTTGGATTAGGCTGGCCTAAGTGTCTGGTCAGCCCATTTGCTGCCATAGCCTCACCTCTAGGATGGCCCCTAGAGCAGGCCAGTCTACCAGGTCCAGGATGACCTGGAGAGCCAGTGCTGGACCCTTCTACAGGAGGGAGGATGCTGTCACATTCCCCCCATGTTGCTTCCTTAGGCTGACCCTTCCCATACTCCCAGCCACCTCACCTTCTGCAAGGTGTGGCGGGGCAGCTGGTTGCAGGGGCCAAAGACAGGCCCATGGTCCTTGGTCGTGAGCTGCTCCAGTTGGGCACGGAGCTCATGTTCCTCTTCAGAGACCATGCGGAACGTGCCCATCTGGGCAGAGAGGAGTCAGAAAGAACAAGGAGCAGCCCCCCTTCCCCAGCAGCCTGAGCAAGCCAGGCAAATGGGCCTGCTCAGACCCTAAACTAGTGCTTTTGCCTGAGCTTGTTGTTAGGTCTCCTCCCTTTGTGGGGGATCAGTGCCCACAGAGAGGTTGTAGGGGTGCGTGTCCATAGTCCTGGGTAGACCAGACAATGGAGAAGCAGGGAAGGAGGCAGAGCAGGAGGGAGGAAAGGTGGATGAAGGAGAGCGCTGGAGAACAGGGGTACTCACCCCCTCCGACATACTGCCTCTGGAAGACACTGAGTCCTCAGAAAAAGAAGGGTCCTGTTTCCTCTGTCCTGGCCTCTCCGGGCAGCCTCTTCTCTAGGAGAAGAAGTCAGGGCTGCAGTGGTATTAGAAAAACCATCCTGTTATTGTCTCAGAACAGTGGATCTCAAACTTTAAAGTGCATCAGAATCACCTAGGGCATTTGTTAGAAATGCAGTTGCCTTGGCCCCATACCCTGCAGTTCTGACTTTGGAGGTCTGGGCTGGGGCCCAGGAAACTGCAATTTAAGGCACCCCAGGTGGCTCTGAAAGAGATGGCTCTTGGGCTACACTGGGAAACACTGCTTTGAGGAGGGGTACACACACAAATACCTCAAACCTCAGCTGTTAAGATAAGTGGCCCAGCCAGGAAAAAACTAGAGTCAGACTACATTCTCAGTTACATGATCACTGCAGGATAAAGCAATCCCTCCTCCCTTCTGTGGCCCAAGGGGTACCTTAGAAACTTCCCAGCCCTTTCCCCAGTACGTTCATTCTCAGGAGAGGTGATGACCAGTTACATAATCATAATATTGAGTGTGTGTTTTGTGCTTTTTGATGCACTAAGTATTTTCAAATCCATTATCTCAGAGCCAGGGATAGCATTATTGTTCCTGTTTTACATAGGAGGAAACAGGGCTGAGAGAATAAACGACTTTTCCAAGGTAACACAGCCAGAAATAGCCAGGGATCAAGACTCAAACCCAGGTTGTGACTTCCTGTCAGCACCAAGAGGCAGCCTGGTGCAGCGCAAAAGTTGAACCTGGGCTCAAATTCTGTCTCTTCCACTTGCAGGCTGTGTGATTTGACCTTTCTTGGTTGTCCCCTGTAAAATGGGATGGAAGGATTAAGAAATGTAATTAAATAATGTACACATAAGCAGTGCTTGGCCCCAGAACAAATCTCATCCATAGTCCACATGACAACCTGCTTACACAATGGGTATTTTTGGAGACAGCTCTTCTGTTTCCAGGTTTTCTCCCCTCACACCCAAATGTCCCCAGTGCCTTCAAGGACCCTTCCCCATCTTGCTCCTGCCTCTGATCCTGTTCCATTGGTCAGTTTGGTCACCTAGTCACAGTTGGTAAGTGGCAGAGCTGAGACTTGAAGCTATGTCTGCCTTACACCAAGTCTGTTTTGACAGCTAGAGCCAAGACATTTTCAGGAAAACTCTTTTAGGAGAGCTACAATCATAGAAACCTTGAAGGTCAGAGAGAACTGGGTTTGAATCAGGCTTTGCCATTTACCACCTGGGTGACTGTAGGCAAGTTATTTAACCATTTTGGGCCTCAGTTTTCTCACCTGCAAATTGAAGATATCAACAGTACCTATGAAAAAGAATTGTCATGAAGACCATACAATTTCTGTAATGTGCCTGGCACAGTGTCTTGCTCTAAAATATTGTTACCTTTCCCTTTCTTAGCATCATTCTGATCATTATCTTAACATGCGCAGATAGATTTGGAGAATCGCACAGAATATCTGAGGGTCTTCCATCTCCTGCCCCTCCCACTCCACAGCCCCAACAAGGGCAGGGAAGTTCTGGGGGGCTGTAATCCACCCACAGGAAACAAATCTAAGCCATCTCTCTGTGGGCATATAGACAGACAGACCAAAATGCTGTTGTGCTATCACGCAGGTTTTTCTGGAACGAGAACAGAGAGGCTGACAGAATTGCCCTAAGAAGTTCAGACAGAAGGGATAGTGGCTGGACACCCCCAGCCAGTTAAGCAGACTATCAGGACAAGATCCTAGATCTTAGAGAGTCAAAGTCCGCACAGCAACTCTTTTCTAAACATGCCCAAGCTGTTAACTTTAACTTTTTTCAAATACTGATTTACAAGCTGCATACAATGAAAAAAATGCCTACCCCTCTCTCACACCATGTCAATGCTTGCTATACCCTGCCATTTAGGGTTGCTGGATAAAATACAGAATGCCCAGTTAAGTGTGAATTTCAGATGAATAATGAATACTTTTTAATATAGGTATGTCCCATGCAATACTTGGGACATACTTATACTTTAGAAAGTATTTGTTGTTTATCTGAAATTCACATTTAACTGGGTGTCCTTATTTTTATTTGCTAAATCTGCCATCAGATTGGTCTGGCTCAATCTGCAGAATGGCCAATTGGTTTCAGTTTTACAGGCAACCTGAGATATCGTCTCCCCAACCCCTGACTCCTCACTCCAGTCCCAGGCTCTCTGGCCCAGGCCGGCCCCAGGTACTGACTTACCTGACAGGTTGGCTGCTCCTCTTTGGGGCCACCAGGTACCTGAATTGTTCTGGAGCTCTGGAGGTTGCCTCCACTGGGGGCGTGGTCCAGTCAGCAGGTTGAGATTAGTGTGTCACAAGGAACTTCTCACTGCCCATAGTTTCCTGTTAAATCCTTAAACCCTAAATCAGGCTCACAGGAAGCCCAGAGGAGGGGCAATGGGAGAACAGGCCGGGGGGTGGGGGGAGATGGAAGAGGTCGGGGCCTGGCTAGAGGCGCATCAAAGCCCTCCTTTGTGTGCTCCTTCTCCGGAGTTCTTGCTCAGCCATGTGGAAGCCAGCCGTGGGGCTGGGATTTGGGCCAGCCCCATTTCCCCTTCTCTGCCTTCTCTGCCCTCAAGATCCCAGGGGGATCTGAAAGAGCACCCCCCACAGTAAGACATGCAAAGAGGTGAAGGGAAATTGCAAACACAGTTACAGATGCAATGGCAACTCTAGTGAATCTAGGCCCGTTGCTCACCCTCTCCCTCAGTCAGCAGGGCTTGGTGTGATAATTCTCACTTCCACAGTGAGTGGGGCCAGTTGGGAAAAGTAGCTGGTTAAGGCCAAGCACGGAGAGGATGAGACAGGCTGACCTGCCTTCTAGGCAGTATGGTGTAGTAGTAGGGGTATGCTCTGGAACCAGACTGCCCATTTTTAAATCCTAGCTCAGGCACCTTCTAGCTGTGAGAAATCACTTCACCACTCAGTGACTCAGTTTCCTCCTCTGAGAAGTGGAGATAACTAGAGGACCAGGCTCATGGCTTTAGTGAGGATGAAATGACAGTAAAGTACTTGGCTCATGTGATCAGCTGCCTGACACTTAGCAAGTACTCTAAATGTTGGCAGTTACTGCAAATACAGACTCAATAGGCACCTGGGGTAGAGGGAACCATATTATCCAACCCTCTTTACAGCAGGAAACTCCTCTGCAGCTCCTGAACAGGTGGCTTACCAGCCTCTGCTTCAGTATTCCACTGGGGTGGGAAGGAGGTGATTCTTTTAGAATGTTCTCTGTCCAGGATTCCAAGGGCAGGGAGCTCCGTTTCCACTAATGGACAGCTCTCCTTGTTTAAAAACTCATCCCTGGTCTGAGACCATGCAGCCTCTAATAATACCCACCCTTGGTCCTGGTTTTCCTCCTGGAGGTGCCCAGAGCAGGATCAAGGTCTTATGCACAGGTCATTCTCCAGAATCCAGCCCCAAAATGCTTTTTGATTTTCCCTAGACATACTTCTTTTCTACCCATTCCTATTTGGACAGGTTTGGGATCTCTTCACTCTCTGGTGTCCTCTCCAGACACCCTAGTGTCCCTGAGGGAAAGTGCCCCGAGACCAACACCTGCCCTCACCTGCATCTCTGGACCCCTTCCTCTAGAGCAGACTGTGATGCCTTGTGCTTAGATCTTGGATTGCACCTGAGTCATATTGAACTCTTTGCATCCAACAGCCCCGTCTCTGGGCTCCTGCTCTGATTGTTGTCTGGCTCTAGGACTGTTTCCATCCGAAGTCTCCTCTAGAGCTGGGAAATCCCTCATTTCTATCATTCTCTCTACAGATGTAGTCCTGCACTGTCCTAGCCACATGTAGCTTCTTAGCACTTGAAATGGAGTAATGTGAACCAAGAACTGACTTTTAAATTTCTTTTTTTTTTTTTGTCTTTTGTCTTTTTCCGTGTCCGGCAACGGATCGCAACCCTCAGTGTTGCCCCCATACCGGACCGGGGACCGGCAACAGGATCGCAACCCTCGGTGTTGCTCCCGCGCCTTGCTCAGCCAGTGAGCGGGAACCGGTCTGTATGTGGGATCCGAACCCTCAGGCGGGAGCGCCACCGCGCTTCCCAAGCGGCGCACTATCCAGTGCGCCACTGGGCCGGCCCTAAATTTCTAAAAATTAAATTTAAACTTAAAAACTGATTCTGGATTCAGTGTTTGGAAAACTTTTTTTTTAAAGATGACCGGTAAGGGGATCTTCTTAATCCTTTACTTGGTGTTGTCAGCACCACACTCTCCCAAGTGAGCTAACTGGTCATCCCTATAAAGGGATCTGAACCCATGGCCTTGGTGTTATCAGCACCGCACTCTCCCAAGTGAGCCACGGGCCGGCCCCAGTTTTTGGAAAACTTTTAAGTAGGTTTGGAACAACTTAAATGTGTGATTCTATTTTATTTTTCCAACTGTATTTTGTGATGAAGTTTCTGATAAGAATTTACAGTCCAGAGTGAGGTGTGCTATAAATATAAAATACCTACTGGACTTTTGAAGACTTTGTACAAGGAAAAGAATGTAAAATATCTTATTAACCTTGCCTGACCTCTCACTTCCCACCAGCTTGGAGGACTGGTAGAGAAGCAGGTAGAGGACTGTCCTTGCCCACCATCCTCTTTCTCTTTGGGGAAAGGCAGTGGGGCTGGGTTGTGGGTGCAAGCCGAGAGGGAGGGTCGCCTGTCCTGATTCTAGGCCTGGCCCTGCCTCCTACAAGCCATTGACCCTCTTAGGCCTTAGTTGTTTCACAAGTAAGATGTCATGAGATGAACTATGCCCTCCCTCCCATTCATATGTTGAAGTCCTAACCCCTAGAACCTCAGAATGTGACTGTATTTTTTTTTTTTTTTGTCCTTTTTGAGACTGGCCGCACCGCGCTCAGCCAGTGAGTGCTATGAGCGCACAGGTCATCCCTATATAGGATCCGAACCCGTGGCGGGAGCGCTGCTGCACTCCCAGCGCCGCACTCTCCCGAGTGCGCCACGGGCTCGGCCCAGAATGTGACTGTATTTGGAGGCAGGGTCTTTAAACAGGTAATTAAGTTAAAATGAGGTCATTAAGGTGGGCCCTAAATCCAATATGGCTGCTGTCCTTATAAGAAGATGAAATCTGAACACAGACAGGTACAGAGGAAAGAACTACGTGAAGACAAGGGGAGGAGGAGATGGCCGTCTGTGAGCCAAGGAGAGAGGCCTCAGAGAAAACCAACCCTGCCGACACTTCGATCTCAGACTTCCAGCTTCCAGAACTGTAAGAAAATGAATTTTTGTTGTTTAAGCCCCCAATCTGTGGTACTTTGCCATGGCACCCCTGACAAACTAATATGGATGAGATTGATGGTTTTCTCCCCAGGTACTTCATAGGGTTAGGTTTATGGGAGATGATGAGGATGAGAGCCCAGACTGCCCCATGGGAAGGAACCATAGAGGCCCTGGAAGAGGTTCCATCAATGCCAGGTGATGGACTCCATCACAAAGAATATTCCTATGCAGCAACACTTTTGAATTAAAGGCACCACCTTGAGAGGAATGGGCTGCACAGAGCTTTTCAAGGTACTGGCAGGCTACGAGGCCCTTTTGGGGAAGAAGGGGTTTCTGCATCATTATCTTCTGCTCACATTTTTTCTCCTGCCTCTGTCCTGCCCTCCCCCCACCCCAAGAGTCACGTTCACATCCGTCTCCTCTGGCCTGAACAGTAGTGCCACTGTGTAAGAGGAGACACTGCCCTCATTGGGCCAGACACCTGTGCTGGCCACAGTGGCAGATACCCCTGGGCTCCCCGGCCTGCCTCCCTCTACCTGCTGGCATTTGCTATGCTCCCATTCTGTACTGTGGCAGGTGCCTTCCCAGTGTTATCTCATCCAATCCTTCCAGATGTGGGAGAGAGTATAATCTCCTTTTTTCAGAAGAGGAAACTGAGAGTCAGAAAAGTAAGGGGACCTGCCCAAAGCCACATGGCTAGTTAGGAATGGAGTTGGGGTTGTTCTAAAGCCTTCTCATCATTCAACACACAAGGCTGCCCCTCCTCAAGAAGCAAGATTGACACAGGCGTGACTGCCTAAGGAAGTCACACCTGCCCCCTGGCTCCTGGGGAATGTGACATCACTGTACTTTCCCAGGGGACAGAAGTCCGGTCACTGCAATCCCTTCTTTGGCCAGTAATAATTCTTCCAGGTTAGGGAGGACCCTATGGAATCCCCAGGCCTCGACCCCTCTTTTGAGAAGTGGGAAAACCCAGGTCCAAGGACATTAATTAAAATCACGCAGTGGTAACAAGATCGAGTGCCAGACCAGAATGGAGTCTCTGACCCAGGCAGTCTCTGTACTCCGAAAAAGCTCCAATTCCTCCAGGAGAAATGCTCATTCCACGAAGAGGGGTCTGCCCTATGGCTGCGGAGAATGGGAAGTGCCAGAAAATAAAGTAAGGAGAAGTTGCATGATAAAATCTATCAGTTTGCTTGTTTAAAGACGATTTTGGAATGAAGTCACTTTAACAGTTTGAGGAAAATCAAACTTGCAAACACACACAAGTAAAAAGAAAGTAAAAAACAGATCAACAGGGGCCGGCCCGGTGGCGCACTGGATAAGTGCGCCGCTTGGGAAGCGCAGCAGCGCTCCCGTCCGAGGGTTCGGATCCCACATACAGACCAGTTCCCGCTCACTGGCTGAGCGAGGCTCGGGAGCAGCACCGAGGGTTGCAATCCCGTTGCCGGTCCCCGGTCCGGTACGGGGGCAACACTGAGGGTTGCGATCCGTTGCCGGACACGGAAAAAGATAAAAGACAAAAAAAAAAAAAA